ATAAGGCATTGATTGGGTATTTTGTATTTTACTTCATGTTTTTAGAATTTGAAAATGATTTTTTTAACTTCAATATATTAATATTTTTATTAATTAAGTACAATTTTTTTAATAAAAATACAGTTTAATTTAATTTAATTTAAATATACAAATTCTTACATAAAAGAAAAAAAAAATATTAACCATGTAATTAAAAAATTAATGGTAATTTAATGATGGGTGATATATATTGAAAAATATGTAAATAACACAATGCTAACAATATAATGTACGTGTATATATATATATATATATATATATATATATCTATACAAACATATATATACAGACAATGAAGTACAACCACAGATGTTAAAAGAGGATGGTCAATTTCAGGTGAATTACTGACATTTAAGAGGTGCCTTAAATTTGGTAATATCTGAACAACCAACAACATTTATTGAGATCATATTTATCAACTTATTATATAATTTATACTTTTAGCAACCATCAATTTAATATATATATATATATATATATATATATAATTCCTTGCTAGTTAAGAATAAAATATAACTTTAGTTAACAATTTATTTTAACCATACTTTTAAATTTTAGATATAGTCACTTAAAATGTTTATTAAAATTTAGTAACTAAAACTATAGTATTTACAATGTATAAATAGTATAATATATAATTTTTCACGACGAATAACATTTTCTATGTTTACGAACGAACACGCTGGCAATTAGAGCAGATCGCTAATGATGCGCCCTATATGTGTATTCATTATTTGCTCAGCTATTCCAACTTGCTGCATTTACTTTGATAGCAAGGCTGGTGGTTAGAAATTAATCTTCAACCAAATAAGGTCTGTTTTTCCCTCTGCTCTACCTACCATTCTTAAGCAAAATTCTCCCTTCACCCATGTATAAAACACTTAAAAACTCGAAAATCGGAAGTTAATCCTACGCAGAAAGTTTGGTTTGAAGCATAAATAATGGCAGGTGGATTTGTTATCTTAATATTTGCACTTACATTATATAGGTTCTATGTTAAAAAGATATTAAGAGATGTAATCTCGCGTCAATTAAATACAAGGGTATGTAATACGTCTTCGTTAAAGAAACTTAGTTTTCTATAAGGTCTGTTATATAGGGGTTTATAAATACACAGCATCGCTAGCCTCACTAATTTCTGCTTTCAAGTTGTTGTTAGGATGTTTTTTTTTTTTTTTTTTTTCCTCTCCGAGTCTTCTTTCTTTTCTTTGGTAGTTAAAGGTGAAAAGTGAGAAATAGGAGTTCCTTGCAGCCTAAAACAGTTCATCACGAGGTGAATATCTTGGATCTTGTAAGTATATGTTTTGGACTGAAGGGAGCTCCTAATTCTTCTCTTTTCTTTGTTCTTCACTGCAGCTGCCTTCAACTGCTTCAGCTTTTTCATTCACCTGGTTTCTGAACTTTTTCAGTTCATCTTTTTTACTACTGGAATATTAAGATTCATTTATGTGTGCCTTTCTGAGTACCCAGTTGAGTTCTGCTTGTGATGATGCACCTCTAGAAGCTTTTTGCTGCTTATTTCAACTTATAACCAGCTCATTCACAATTTCTATCTCGTATTTTTCTTCACAAACATTTATTTTGTGTCTGATATTGACTTTTCCATTACGACTATTGTTTAGGTAGAAGATGCATCTCGTGCCTGGTACTGTACAATTCTCCTCGTAAGGTTTTACTTTTTTCATGATAAATAAATAAATTTTGAAGATTGGGAACTACTTTTTTTTTGTGTCGCTAAAGAACGTTGAGTGTAGGAAAAGAAGAATCACTTTCTACGACATTTGAGTTAAAAAAATATGAACAAATTACAATCCAATTCTTATAAGATCGTATAGCAAACTTCTTCTATATTTTTTATTTCCACTAACGGAAGAACAAGACAATGTATTTTTAGTTATTATTGTGCTATTTGTTGAATATGTTGCTGTTGCTGTTGTTGCTGCTGCTGTAGAATATTGCAACTGATCAGGGAACATGATTGTATGGTATCTCCAGATCCCGGCAAGGGAATTACAGGGAGATCATCGCAGTTACAAATCTCGATCATGTTCCCATCTGGGTCGTGAAAAAAGAGTTGATCGACCACGATTCCACCCTCCTCCACTCTGCCTTTAACGCACTCTATGTTCATTTCCTTCAATTTGTTCTCCACTGTTGCCATGCCTTCGCACTGTTACTAAAAACCCACTTCAGATACAACTCAACCATGCATTAATAAAAGAGAACTGGAAAAGAGATAAAGAATTATACCTGGAAGGAAATGTGATTATCTTTGGGGTTGATGCGGCCAATCTTGCGCATGTTATCAGGGTTTTCAGATTGCAGGAGGTGTATGCCAATGCCATAATTGAACAGCCTAAAACCCACAAATCAGCTTTTAATTAACAGGAAAATCAACTTGTAACTATATATATATGTATATGTATATGTATATGTATATGTATATATGCATACCATGCACCATGGAAGTTGAAAGAACCAGGGCGTCTGACAGGGAAGAACCCAATAACATTCTGGTAGAAATCAAGAGATTTCTCAAGGTCTCTACAAAGTAAAGAAACGTGGTTCAATGACTTCAGGCGCAGAGGATTCTCCATCGAAGATAAGGAAAATAAACGGAGAAATCGATGTGGGATGTTGGATTTCAAGTTAATAAATTATCAATTGAAGGATAATAATAAGAGAAGACTACATGTATATATATATATATATAGAATTCCAGAGGATGAGTAATCTGATCTGCAACATTCTTTGTTTCGTGACTCGGTAGTTAAACTCGTTCCTGCGTGGACATGACTCAAAACATCTGATTTTTTCATTTTTTTAAAAATATTTTAGCTGTCTCTCTATTTTTTAAATTCAATTAAAGATAGAAGATTAACCCTATAATTAAGTAACTCACTAAACAAATTTCTTACAATTTAATCTTAAATTATCCTAATCTGAAACTAATTGCAACTCTAATAGTTGTTACCTTATCAAAAAGATGATAATAATAATAATAATAATACACGAAGAAAACATTTTCAAATATAAAAATTTTAAAATATTCCAAATTAATTAGGATTTGACACGTTAAAAGGCTTACAGCAAGCGTACTTCTTCCTTACGGTACCAGCTACTTAAGACAACTTGGTGTATATAAAACTATTTTATATAAGTAGATGTGTATGGATATATCAATGTTTCAAGTCGTGGGTTTTAATGGGTTTTGCTTTTTTTGACGTTTTAAGTAGGTGGCAATCAGCAAGTAAGCAAACCAGACAGCTGCCTCCTAGCTGCCTCCCAGCTGAGGTAGCAGCCACAGATGGAGTTCTAAATTTATATATATATATATGTGTATAAACACTTGTTCTGTATATTATAAGTACGTATTAAGTATTCTATAAGTATTAATTATAAGTTGTTAAAGACTTTTCTTCTGGGAAGATTAGAAAGTAGAAGTTAATAGCGGAGGCAAAGTTGATTTTCTTTTTTGATTTTGACAAGGTTGATGTTAGTGTAGAAAACAATTTGTGTACTCTCATTAGGCTACCAAACGAAGATTTAATTGAATTTAGTCAAAGAAAAAAACAATTTTCTTGTGCTTGTTTCCTCCCATCAATGTATATATAGGTATGTATATATATGTGTGTGTGTTCTTTTGGGTAAAACATAAGAGCATTCTCTCTCTCTCTCTCTGGATATGTGTATGTATATGTATATTGAGATGAGAAAGAAATGAGAAGCATGTAGAGAGAGAAGTGTGAAAGAGAGATATATTTTGGGTTTTTTAAAAATTTTTGGACCATTTTAAATTAATTCAAAATTATTTTTTTATGTTAAGTATATATTATATAATACTTATGGTAAAAAAAAAAAATCAAATTACCCATATAAATCCATATATATATATATATATACACACACTTATAAGTTACCTAAACGTCATCGTTTTAATTTTGATTGTACAATTGAAGAAAATAAAATATATGAGAAGCTACTGATTTTTCAACACAAAGCGATATTCCTCATGCATGCATGAACATGGCTGCTTGTAAAGCACAAGTTTCAAAAGTTTTGACCACACTGCCTGTCTTTTTGGACTTCACACCAATCCTATTAATTTGCTTTAAAATATCTGTTCTAATTTGCAATTGTAAACCTAATCTGTAAAGTCACTCTAATTAGTAGTTATGTAGGATCAAACATTATCATACATATTAAGATATGAATATATATGTATATATATATAAACTTAAGAAATAGTAAGGATAATAAATCTCAGAATTGCCCACAATATAGTCTTATGTCTAATTAGTGTAATGATCTAACTCAAATATTATATTATTCATAATATCATATAGTTGAATTTCTCTATAAATGAAATTTATATTTGACAGTCAAATAAGGCAATCGATTGGTTCAATACCTTTAATGATACATAAAATTCTCTACGTATAAACAACCAACTTCAGCTATCTTGTCTCAAGTTTCGGATGACTTATAAAAATATTTTTATGTGAATCATTATAACGTAGTTTATGTAAATTAATATCTTTAACGATGCATAGAATTATCTACATTTAAAGAATTGAGCTTAACTACCTTATCTGGAGCTCCTAATAAATCATTATAAAATAGTTTAGACTCAACTTATTGAATACTGAATTTTTTTTTTTCTTCTTGTTATTAGAATTAATTAATCTCAAAGTACGTAATTAACCTTATGCCCTTACTATTTTATCCGATGTTATATATAAACCCTAAAGAATATTTATTGTATTCATTAAATTACTCTCGAATACACAGAAACTTTCCTTCACGTTTCTTGTTCCCTTTACTCAAACTTAATCTTGCACGTCCTACCATGATATTAGAGTAAGAGATAAGTCATTTTTATTTTCAATACGAAATAAAAAATAAATTATCAGCGATCATCTTAATCCATATATATCTTATATCATTCAGATAGCTCAAGACTGATGTTGATATTTTAGTAATTAATAGGAGACAATTATACATCGTGGAGCTACAATAAATTACAAGTTCAAGTTCATGGATGACTCACTTCCAATACCAACTAACGTAGACGACTCACTTCCATAATGAAACTAATGTCTAGACAAAAAATAATAATATAGTGATTTATTGGTTAATGAACTTCATATCAGAAAAATTTTTTACTAGTGTAATATTCGTAAATTTTGTATTAGAGATTTAAGCATTAGTTACTTTTTAGTGACTAAAATAATAATATACATACGAAGAATAATTTTATTTAAATTATAAAAAATATATTAATGTAATTAAATACTTTTACATTAATTAATTATTTATAAATAAACATAATTTAGAAACATCATTTCTCGCAATATAATAGACAAAATTATTTATTGTTATATCAATAATATCTCTATTTAATATAAATATAAATGTTTGCTATATTAATATTTTAATATAATACATAGTTTGATTTGACAATAAATTATGTGAAATCAATTTATCCAATAGAAATTAGAATAAGATAATGAAATTTCGGATTGCCTAATAAGTAAAAGTAAAATATAATTAAAGTTTTATAATTTTTACTGAAATAAATTTATTCAACTACAAGGAAAAATGATTTTGTTCTCTTAACTTTTATATTTTTATATAATTACGTCCTTTATTTTTAATATTAAATAAAACGAAACTAATTTCTGCTACCGATGTGTCCTTGTGCTTTCAATTTTTCTTTTTTTATTTAAAAAATTAATAGATTTATCAAGTGGATGCCATGTCATCATTTTGTATGACATGGCATGATGACATGGCACCGGTTCATATAAAACTCAAATACCCGACCGCCTCAAGAGATACTGAATCACTAATCAGATCTGAGAAACTCGACCCAGACGCTTCTCGTCAGCTTTTTCATTTCATCCGCCACTGAATTTCTTCTCTCCCGATTGGGCAGAAATCTGAGAGTGAGAGTAGGGGGAGGGGCAGAAGTACTTAAAGAAGCGGTCTCCAGAAGAATATAGGGAGCTTCAGAAGTGTGGTTGAGGGAGAATTTGCCTTCGAGAGTGAATAATTTTGGATAAGGCTTTCGGATGAGCACAGAGGTAAATGTAAGACAGGCGATTGGTGGATTAGTTTGGAAAATCGGATCTCAACGCCAATTAGAGGGATTTTCCTCTCCGCAGCATCGACTTTCTGCACCAAGCTTCTCCCCTATTGAGCATGGGAATTCATTCATTGCGTGGCGTGACTTTTAGTCTATTTGCAGATACTGAGAATGTAATGTAGATTTCCTTTGTTCTTGTATACGACATTTTGGGATTTTTATGTGCTTGTTTTTTTGCCAGCGTGTGGATTTTAAGACTGTAGAGGTTGCTGGAATATCTTATTAATACGGACGCCTCCTACATGTTTGATTAAATGCCTAGACGAACTTAATTTTATGGAGCTATGAGAAAAAGTGAACTCTAACCAGATTTTCTTTATCACTATCTTTTGCAGGTTAACTGTCCATTCGAATGGAATAGCATTGCTTGAAATTGCTCCATTCTCAGTGGGAATTAAGGTTTTACAGAATTAAATTAACCGAGAATTGATCGTCTCGGACATCTTTGTTGTCTGCCCGATTCCTAGGGCTCTGTATTGCAAAATTTCCTGGAGTAATGGATGGAAACCTGGAAATTTCGCTCGACAAGCTTCCCCTTAAGCGCTTGGAAGCCATTGAAGAGAACGGCCTCGAACGCTTCCCTGCGTATGCTTCTTACTTTTCCCTATCGTTACACTTTGGTTCCATCTTTCTTGAAAAAAAAAACTCAATTGTTATTGCCCAAATGTTCAAGATGCTTCCATACTAGGTTTTGTTCATTCTCCCGGCTCCCAAATGTTGCTCTTAGCTTTGTTTTGTTATTGATGTCTATTTGGTTGTGGTTTATACTTCTAAATTCATACTCTTATTTTGTTTTCACTTACTTTGTTGAGTTTTCCTCAATGATTGTAAGGTGATTAGCGAATGCTTATTTTCTGTCAACTTCATGGAAAATGCTACGGTGTTTTGTGTGTACAGGGATGTTGGTTATGATGAGAAGAGAGTATCGCTGATAAGGAGAATAGACTTCGCATGGGCAGTTGAGGAACAAGATGATAAGCAGAAGAAAAAGAAGCAGAAGAAGAGCTCCAAGGAGAGCTCCACGCCATGGCAGTGGCAGAGTATGGTGGAGAACTTGCAGTTGGCTCACCAGGAGCTTTCTGTCATTCTGGACCTCATCAACACTGTGAGTCTATAACTTTTAACCCATCATTATTACTTCAATCCATATTATAAGTTTTTGAAATGCAATTCATAGCACACAAAACTAAATTGTGTCGCGGTTTTTGTGGTTTATGTTTAGTTCAAGTGCTTATGAATCTTACTATGGTAATTCTTTGTATGTAAATATGTGTTACTTTGAAGTGGAAGAACCTATGCTTTTGTCTTGCTGAGAGTATAAGGAAAAATTGAGTAGATTAAAACTTGAAAGTTGAAATGGACCAAACAAATCAAGTGTTTAATATATTGAGGCTATAAGTGTACATGGCAACTTGGCAATGTTTGGTGTTGTCACTTGCATTTTGTAACCTGATTTTAAAATTGGTGAAGTAAATGATCATATTATTAATTTAAGAAAAAATTTACCCTGTAACCAGATGATTGTGTTTTTTGAAGGATTAAGATTCAATGAAAATATGTGGATCGGATGATTCAGCTCTTAATGGTTTGCTTTCCTATGCATCTTGCTTGTTGTAGTCTGGCCAGATCAATTAGTTTTTTTATGTGAGGGGCAAAGTTAGTAAATCTCATTTTAATTTTTGGCATATACAAAAAAAAGAGAGAAAATCCAGATTATATACTTCACTTAACATATCACTGATATGCTTCTTTTTTGTACATATACAAAATATTCTTAAACCTACAGGGATTTCATATAACAGATATACAAGATACAAATACAACTCTATTGTATTAGTAAAATAGAAAATAACATTTAGGGTTATTACTGGCACTGTGAGAAAAACGGGGAAAAATGTTTGATGCTTTTTTTAATTTGATAGTACCTTATATATATATAATAAAATGTTAAAGATTAGCTTGAGATGTAGAACGCTGAAATTCAAGAAAGGTGGAAAAAAGGAAAAGGAACGGAAATTATTAGATAAGAAAAAGAAGCTTGATTTCAGAGTTTTAAATTTTGAGATATTTAAGGTAATTTTGTGTGCCAAATCGTTGTTTAGTTACATTTTATTTATCATTATTATAATATCTAAAATCATTTTTTTTAGATAAAAGTGAGAAGTGTATTGAAATGATGCCAAGGGCGCATGACCCATGTACAAAAATATAGAATTTACAGATCTGTAAGTATATTTACAATAGATCTTAGATCGTCAAAAGAGTCAAAAAAGTTGTGACCAAGCACACTAAAGCCAAAAAAGTGGAGCCACAAAATGTATTGTGTAAGTCACCACAGACTACGTCTTTCAAGTATTACAAAACTCTAGTGTCTTTTTCCCTTCAAATTTTTTAATGATAAATTGTTTTTTGTTGGATTGACATATTTTGGTTAATACGCAA